TCAACCCTGCATCCCCTTTCCCTTTGTCCTCCTGCCCCCAGGCCCAGCACCCACTGCCGGCTCCCTCTTCCCCCCCAGTCCCACAGCATCCCACCGCAGGGGCACGGATGGAGCTGGGCCAGCTCGGCCTGGGGCAGCGCTGGGCTCTCGGCCGCTTCCGCCCGCACTCGCTCCCCACTGCAGCCGCTCCCGCCACCACAGCGCGGGGGGGCCCGGCCTTGGCGCTCCCCCCTCCCACCTCCCCAAATTCCCCTCAAGGGGGGCGCCAAGGCCCGGGGGGGAGGGGCGCAGCTGGGCTCCAGCTGGGCAACGCTGGCAGCTGCGGCTCTGCCTGGACACTGATGAGTCATCAGCGCCGCGCGCTCTGATTGGCTCAGCCCTGCCTGAGCCCTGCGCCTGCACCAAGGGGGGACACCCTGCTCCAGGGGGGATGGCCCCAAAACGGGGGAACCCCAGCAAAGGAAGAACAACAAAGGCTCTTTACAAACTGATCCCGTCAACCTCATTGCACATAGGGCCAGGGACGTGGACATAAGGAAGTGACAGGAGGAGCCATCAGCTGCACAAAATGTTATTAATTGATGACACAGACTGCTGCTCAGCCAAGGTCCTGCTAAATTCATCAACTTCCAGAAGAACAACAATGACTTAACACAGCCATCAATATCGTTAGCTAAACAAAAGTGGGGTGCATATTAAGGGGGTATGTAGCAGGTGCATTGGGAAGTCTGTACTTCTCCAACACTTCAGCCAATGGGAAAAGGGAGATGCAGCCAGGAAAATCAGGATTACAATGAGGCTGTGTCTGCCAACAATTGGAGAGAACCCACGGGAAATATCCCATGGCCTCATCCCTTTTTTTATGAATGAAATTACTGTGACAGGACTCCTCTGTCTTCCTTGTGGACAGAAACCTCTGGGGATGTCAATTTTTCCACACACCTTGGGGCTCCTCCGCAATTCCTTCCACCGTCCGGGCCGGCGGGCAGTGAGTGCAGCTGAAGGTGCCTCACCCAGTTTGGGGGATCGGCTCCCTCGGCTGGCGGCGGCACCGGGGATTGATTGGGTACCCGAGAGTGAGCAGGAGACAGACGAGTGACGGATCAGGGGGGCTGTCAAGAGTCGGCAGGGAGAGAGCACTGAAAATCTCAGCAGTAACTACAGTGGCATCTTCGGGGAGTAAACATGGCAGGGCACCCAGGGAGGGGACAAAAGGGAAAGCCGGGAAGGGCCAGGGGGACCCCTCAGCCTTGGCTCAAGGGCTCTGAAGCCCCGGAGATTTGGACTTCCCCGCTGCAGCAGGAGGATGGGAGGCCACCCCTGAGCCTGCACTGAAGGCAATGCAGCAGCAGCCAGGGTTCCCCAGCAGGGGAAGCCTCTGGGCCTGCCCACAGATCCTCTGCTCAAATCCTCGGCCTGGGCACCCTCCTTTGCCATCTCCAGCCACTGCGGGACAATCCTTGCTCTCACTCTTGCAGCTTCAGGCCTTTCTGTGCCTGCCCTCGCCACAGCTGCTGGGGAAGGCACCGGCACAATTCCACTCTGGCTCTCAATTACACTCACACTCTGCCCTGCCTGGGATTAGCTGCTGGGAAAAAAGACCAAGTAGAAATTTTTTTCAAATCTTCTTTTTCTACACTGGCTTGGTTTGCCTATGCCTTGGGGAAAGGAATTTAAATGTTTTTTTTAAGGTATGTTCCACCACTCAGCAGAGATGAAATTCACATCTCAACAGACTGGGAATAGCCTAAAAGATTCCCTCCAAGATAACAACCATCAACAAAACATCAACACCCAGAAGCAAACATCAACCAACATCTCCCCCAGACACTGCCCCAGGCACAGCTGGAGACACCTGGTCTGGAAAAGGCTGAGCAGGAAATCCAGGAGTGCCCACCTAATTCACATCACAGGCACAGAAATCCGGGTGCAACAGGAAACCAAATCCTAACAACTCCACACCTTCAAACCAATGAACACACACACAGCACCCTGCTCTGGCACACAGGAACAGAGCAGACGTACTCAGCTGCATCAGGCTCCACTCCCCTCTCACCTCTGGCTGCAGGGCTGTGCTGCTGTTAGAATGTTCAGCCCAGGATCCTGCAACACAGGGAGCTTCAGTGTCCTCTTCAGGAGCAGAGGGAGGTTCCCCATCTTCTTCCCAATGCACTGTGGGTTCTTCATCCTCTTCCCAAGATGCTGAAGGTCCTCTGTCCTCTTCCCAAAATGCTGCAAGTTCACCATCATCTTTCCAAGCCACGGGACATTCTATGACGGCTTCCCATGCTGGAAGATGTTCTCCCTCCTCTTCCCAAGCCACAGGATGCCCTCTGTCCTCATCCCACACTGGGAGATTGCCATCATCCTCGTCACACGCCATGAGAGCTTGGCCATTCTCATCCCACACCAGGGGACATCCACCGTCCTTGTCCCACACCGGGAGATGTCCACTGTCCTTGTCCCACACCGCGGGAGCCTCGCCGTTGTATTCCCAAAGCGCGGGGTGTTCGCCCTCGTCTCCCAGAACAGCGGGAAGTTCACTGCTGTCTTCCTCCTCTTTGGCCTCCTCTTTGCAAGCAGAGGGAGCCAGAGGAGGTGCTGATGCTGCTTTGGTGCCCTGTGGACAGACGGGAGCGTGAGGGACGGGAAGTTCTATCTCAGTTTTCACCTTCTTTATCCTCAGCTACACATCCAGCTGCACTAAGCAGAAATAGGGTTCAGAGCTGTTCAAACTAACAATGGGCTCAAGTCAACATTGCCACTTATTGTTGGGAATTCCATATTCCAGCATGGCTAAAGCCAGCAAGCAATCTTCTGCCTGCAAAACCAGTCCTGCAGCTCTTCAAAAGCTCTTCAGCAGAAACAGAGAAAACTGCCAGGGATCTCTTTGCTGCTGCTGCTGCTGCTGCAAAGACACTGACAGGAACTTTCCTTCAGCCTCCCAGGCTGGCACTCGGCTGCCACACGCCGAGCTCACAACTTGCTGCACAATTCTGAACACCAAAGCTTCCTTTCCCACTCACCGAAGGAGGAGCTGCTTGGGATCCACGCGTGAGGTGCCCTGCAACGGGAGAGGGAACGTGAACCAGATGTTGTTAGGAAAAAACTGCCTGTGGTGGGAAATGAGCAAGGCAAGCCCGAGAGAGCATTTTGCTTTCACAGCATCCCTCCAGGAGCCACAGGCCCTTCACACAGCAAGCAAGAGAGCAGCACAAAACACTGGGCTGTGTCAGCTCTTGGCTGGAGCAGCAAACGGAGGGAGTTCCAGGCTCCGCTGCCACAGACTCCCCGCTTGAGGGAACAGAACCCCCCCAGGCCTCATTGCAAATGCTGTGCACGCCCCGCTGGCTGCAGACACCCCCTTTTTCAGCTGCAGCTGCTGGCAGGAGCTCTCCCAAACCAACCGTGTCCTCATGGCAATTTGGTTACAGAGTCAACTCAGTTCCAGTGGAAGAACAGAAAGCACACAGCAAGCCCAAAGCCACAGATGCTGCACCGAGGGAAAACCTCAACTTACGTGCCAAGTGGGTTAAAAAATACCCCGAATAAGCCACAGAGAACAGAGTGCCAACTGCAGCAACCACTTGCTGCATCATTTTGGCTGCGCTGCACACGTCTGCAGACTGTACCCCTGCAAGCACAGAAGGACACCCGTCAGGGGCTGGGCTGGCTGCTGAGAATGCCTCGGGCAGGAGGATCCTCTGGCAACGAGCAGGCGCCCAGAGCCGCTCTGGACACTGAGGCCTCCGTGTCCCACAGCAACGGGAACACCACGGGGACGTGGCAACGTTCCTGTGACACCACAGCAGCCGCTCACGCAAAAACCGCCTGGAAGCTTCTCCTGTGTCACAAAGGAGCACAAAGAATCCTCCCAGGGCACAGCCTATTGCCCAAAGGATCCAAGAGGAACTCTGAAAATGCAGCAAACAAGGACACCCCATAGGCCAGCCTGAGCACTGAGGAGGAACGAGGACAGGACCAAACCAAAGCAAACATGACCTGTAGTCACTGATACTGCTGAATAAAACCAGCAAGGCTTGTTCCATCTGGAATCTTTGTTCTAGTTCTAAAAACAAGCAAGGTTCTCCACTCTAAATATACAGAAGGCAGGAACTGGGGAGGAGGTGGGATTAGGGAGGAGGGGGAGCAGGAGGAGGGAGAAAGGAAAAGGAGGAGCAGGAACAGGAATAGAAGGAGAAGTTGGAGGTTCCAGTGTCCCCTGTGTCCGCAGCACCCCCGGCCACGGGCCCATCGCCCCCACCTCATCCTGCAGGTGAGCAGGGAGGGGGAGCTGGTCCCAAATCTGTCTGGGGGTCCCTGAGAGGGTCTTTTTATTGGGGTGTGTTTGGAACTTGCAGATTGAGGAACTGAGCCCCAAATATTGTCTGGCGTCCCTGGGAGGTTTTTTCCTCCATGTGTGTAGGTTTGGATCTTGCAGGACCCCAAAGCTGAGCCCCTTGGGGGATCTTTGGGGTCCACATGGCCATTGCCCAGTATTGGCTGGGGGAGGACATTGGTCCTGGGGACCCCTGGGAGAGCAGGGGAGAGGAATCCCTGGGACCCCCAGAGTGGGGAGAGTAGAGAGGAGAGATCCCGGAGCTGGAGGACCCCGGGAGAATGGAGAGGTGGGAGCCTGGAGAGGAGGGACTCTTGAGACCCCTGGGATCTCAAAGCAGAGCATCAGGGGAGAAGGGACCCCATGGACCCCCAAAAGCTCCCGGATCATCGCTAAGGAGGACCCCAGAGAACAGGGAACCCCTGGAGCCCTTGGACCCCATCATCCCAGGGAATTGAAACCTCTGGAAGCCCAAAAGTGGAAAGACAAGAGATGGGGAACTCCTGGGGGAGTTTTTGGGGTTGAATCTTGATATTTTGGAGACTATCATGGACACAAGACTCCTGCTGAGCTCTAGACATGGACTTGGGCAGGAGGAGCCTCTACTCCAAGGCACCCCCACTTTGATTTCCCCCAAACCAGGATTTGTCATTCCCAAGCCATGGCCAGATGGAGGAGGAGGAAAAGCCCCGGAGATCCACATGAGGAGGGGCTGCAAACCCAGCCCAGGGAGCTGCAAGGAGGAAAGATCGCTCCTGTGCCAGGAAGGTGGCCAGAGAGATCCTGCCGGAGCTCAGAGCTGGGGGAGAGAGCTCATGGCAGGGAGAAGCCCCACAAATGCTTGGAATGTGGGAAGGGCTTCAGCTGGAGCTTCAAGCTGAGGGAACACCAGAGGATCCATCCTGGGGAATGGCTCTGGGAGTGTGGGGAGTGTGGGAAGGGCTTCAAGAATAGTTCCCATCTGATCTGGCACCAGGTGATTCACACTGGGGAGAGCCCCTAGGAGTGTGGGGAGTGTGGGAAGAGGTTCAGGAAGATCTCTGGCCTGATTAACCACCATAGGATCCACACAGAGAAAAAGCCTGGAAAGTGCTTGGAATGTGGGAAGAGCTTCAGTCGCAGCTCCCACCTGATCTGGCACCAGAACATCCATACAGGAGAATGCCCCAGCGAGTGTGGGGAATGTGGGAAGAGCTTCATTGAGATGTCCAATCTGATTTGTCACCAGAAGATCCACACAGAGGAAAAGCCCTACACGTGTGGGGAGTATGGAGAGGGCTTCAGCTGGAGCTCCAACCTCGGGGCACACCAGTGCATCCTGAGTGTGGGAAGAGATTTCCAAGGAGCTCAGGTCTCATCAAACATCAGTGGATTCACACAGAGGAGAGGCTCTTCTTTCTGCTGCCCTGACTGTGGGAAGGGCTTCACAAAACTGCACCCTCATCAGGCACCGGCACATCCACACTGGGGAGAGGCCCTACGAGTGTCCCCAGTGTGGGAAGAGCTTCTCACAGAGCTCAGCCTTGACCAAACAGATCTTCCTGACTCCCCGTGGGCACCTGGATGAACACAGGGGCAGGAACATCCATCAGAACTCAGACCAACAATGGGAATTGCAGATTGACAGCCCCTGGAGATTCACCAGAAGAATGCAGAGATCCCCCCACAGCCCCTGGAGAAGCCCATGCCAGAGCAGGGGAATGCCTGAGATGAGGCTGTGACCACGGGGGACACCTGTGGACAGAGGGGCCCCTGCTGGAGCCGCCTGTCCTGGAAGGACTGACCTTGTGGCAGAGTGACCCACGCTGCAGCACTGTGAGGGGGCTGTTCCCCATGGGATGGACTCAGGTTGGAAAAGGTCCTAGAGACCTCTCTGGTGGGAGAGATCCCAGAGTGCAGAAGGGGAATGACTCCAGTCCCTGGTCAGCAGGAAAAGCCAAGGGAGATTAACTGACCATAGCTCAGTTCCCTGTATCCCTGCACTGCCAGGTTAGGATGCAGAGCTGGAAGGAGGGAGGGGTGAAAGGAAGGTGCTTTTAAGGGTCTTCTTATTCTCCTGCTCTGAGCTTATTGGCAATAAATTCAATTAATATCTCCAGTTTTGCCCGTGACTGTGTTTGATGAGGAAACGTTCCCAGTCCTTACCTCTTCAACACTTAGTTAAATTTTCTCTCCCAGTGTGGCTGTGGAGGGCAGTGAGAGAGCAGCTGTGGTGGGTGCCTGGACTCGGGCCTGCATCATCCCACTGCAGTGGGACATGTCCTTGTGTGGCCCTGTGCTATGGTGTCACAGGTGCTGTTGCTTTTGTCTCCCTTATGATTTTATCTTTTGCATTAAATGCTTGTGAAGTGCCCCCGGTGTCCCTCGTGTTCTCTCGGCGCCGGTAGCCCTGTCCCTTCCCCTGCATCCCGGCTGGCGGAGCCTTGGAGCTGCCGTGGGGGCCGTGGGGCTGCCCCGGGGGCTGCGCCCTGAGCCGAGGCCCCTTCCCAGTGCTTCCAGTGTGCCGATCCAGCCTGGAGCAGCCAGCGAGGGCTTCAGCTGGGACGGCAGAGAGGCGCTGCTGGGGGGTCCCGGCTCACTTCGCTTTGGTTGACTCTTCTCAACCTGGGGCAAACGATTTTGGGAGTTTTCTGGCAGAAATCTCCCCTCCTCCATTCAGCCAAAGGGGTTTCTGGCGGTTTTACCTTTTTGGGGGGAATTCAAGGCGATGCACTGATGCTCCTAATTAAGGGGTAGGACAAGTGAGCCTGAAGGACTTCCCGCTGAGCCGGAGACCAGGGACTGGGCAAGGCGGGCCGGGAGCTGCGGAGAACTTTGTTTGTTGGGAGATCAATGGCGGCTCGGGCCGGGCCCGTTCCAGGGCTGTTCCTCATCCCCGCCTTTCCCCTCACGCAGCCCGGGGCGGGCCCTGAGAGCGCGGGGCGGGGCCGTGCCGTGTGCAGAGCCCGCCGCTGGCTGCGATTGGCTGCTTCTGCCGTCACTCGTGGCTCTGGCGCGCGCTGATTGGGCAGAGCGGGGACAAGCCCGGCCCCGCTGGCGCCCCCAGGGCGGCCGTGGGGCAGGAGAGCCGCCATTGCCGGAGCGTCTGTGCGGGCCCGGCAGCGGCGGCAGCAGCGGCCGGAGCCCGGTGAGGCGGCGGCGGAGCTCGGAGGCGGCCCCGGCCATCGCAGGTGGGAGCCGCGCTCGGTTCTGCGGGGGCTCGGGGCTCGCTGCGGGCCCGGGAGGGGGCGGCAGGGGGCTGTGGCGGGTGGCTTGTGCCGTGGCCGGCCCGTGTTGGCCCTGGGCTGAGGGCGCTGCGGGAGCGGCTGCCCGCGGTCTCCTTGCCGCTGGGGCCTCGGCAGGAGGCGGTGGCGGAGCAGCGCTGGCTCGTCCCGCTTCGTGTCGGGAGGCCGGAGGTGGCTGCGCTGTGCCCGGGGCTGGGCGGGAAAATTCCCGGCGCCAGAGGTTTGTGTGGCCAAAGGAGGCAGAGGAGTGGTGTGCGAGTGACTTTATTGCTGCCCAAAGGGAGAGGCCATGGGGCATTTGCCATGCGCTCTCTCCAGTTGGAGGACGCGGCCTCGTTTTTGTCCTGATTTTCCCGGCCGCATGTCCCTGTCCCTTTGCCCAACACTGGCGGAGGTGCTTGGAAGGTTCAGCCTTCCCGATCCGCCTGCTGCATGTCTTTTTTATATAACATCCGATATTCCTGGCTCTGTGAAATGTTTATTCTTCTGGAAGTTCAGGAATGTAGCGGGACTTTGTCTGAGCAGCTTGTCAATTAGTAACATTTTCTGAAAGTGGTGGTTTCTCCCATTGCTTCCTTATGTACAAGTCCCTGGCCCTATCCCCAAGCAGATTCACTCATTGCCTCTGTTTTTTCTTCCTGGGTGTTCTTTGGTTTTGGGATTGCTCTCAGTGCCCTCATTCTCTGGCCTTTTGTAGCCGTTTGTGGCTCAGGAGGCCTGGCTGCCACCTGCATCCCCTTGCTCAGCTGCTGAATGAGCTCCACTCAGCAAGGTGTGGTGCATGGTAAAAAGATGAGAGTTGTTGTAGCACATGAGAGGAGAAACAGCATTTGTTTAACCCATGGTCTGTGAGGGAACCACGAAACTGTGTCCCATTCCCATCCTTTCCACATTTGGAGTGGAACATGAGCTGCATTTTTATTTCGTTTTTTATGTTTCTCCACTTTTTCCTTTGTGATCTATTTGCCAACAGCAGTTTGAGTCTTTCCATTTTCCAGAAACTCTGCATCCTTCTTCTAACAGATAATTCGGTAGCATCCCATGTAGAAAAGTTGTGTTCCTCATCTGAGTGGATTGGCCGGTAAGAGTATCAGGAGTTGGAGCTGTCTAATTGGATATTGTTTTGATGACGGCTTGTAATCTATTTATGTAGCTTAAATTATAAATGGTTTGTTTGGTATCTGATATTAATTCATCAGGGTTCCCAGGGTCTGGTCCATGGTGTTGCAGGATTTGTTCTGGTGGCTGTTCATATTTTCCCCATTTTTGGGTGCTCCCTCCAGCCAGGGCTGCATCAATTGTCAGCTTTTCTTTCACTAAATCATCACATACTTGGATTCCCAACTGATTTTTCTCAAATTGCTGTAGCAGAAAACCCCAGTGGTCTGATACACCCTATATAACATAGACAGTGACAGCACATGTTGGAGTGGGGACAGAGATGATTCCCCCCCACTTGTTTTAGTGAAGTTTTCACAACATTTTCCATTTTCTGTTTTCCTTTGCAGCTTAACCAATTTCTGTTGCAGAGTCAGATACCCTCACTCTGGGCTCTGCCTTTAGCTGTGCAAATTCCATCTGTGCAAGCAGGCAGAGCTTGGGCTGAGGGGCAGAGGGAATCAGCCCAATTCCTCCTGCAGGCAGGAAGCCCCTGGGCCATTGTGCAGGCTTTGTCCCAGCAGTGTTAATTTGCATTTCTAAAGCTCCTCTCCTGGCTGCATGGAACAAAGCTTCTCTTCCAGGGCAGACATCCTGTGACTCACTGGTGGCCCCCCACAGAATCTCCTATTTTTTTTTTTTTTAAACAATGTTTTATTAACTGTTTATTGTTAACTGTTTATTGTGTTAATGGGCCAACTTTAAAGCTCTTCTAGTTTTCAAAGTGCAGCTTAAAGGCGAACATCGAAAAACTCATATCATCATTTTTTCAGCACTAAGAGTCACATACAAATATAAAAAAAAAATGAGAAAGCAATCAAGTGTTTTCTTTTTATTCTCCTAGGACTAAAAACTCATTCTCAGACCACTGGCCCAAACAGAACCGACAATATAGAAGTAAAATTGTTATGAAAAATTATTCTCACGGTGTAATCTTTTCACTGAAACTGTAAAAAGCAAAAACTCTTCAACAGTGTCTTTAGAGAATTAAGGTGTTACTTGATTCTGGCCAGAATGTGCAACAGGAATCATTTCATGCACACTTAGGCTGGGTGTGCAGAGAAAATCATTCCATGACACATGAGTTGGACTAGATTTTTCTAAATTTATACAGTCTGACCCCATAGAAATCCATTGGTTTAATGTTCATTGGTTTCAAGGTGTGGAGTTGTTAGGATTTGGTTTCCTGTTGCACCCGGATTTCTGTGCCTGTGATGTGAATTAGGTGGGCACTCCTGGATTTCCTGCTCAGCCTTTTCCAGACCAGGTGTCTCCAGCTGTGCCTGGGGCAGTGTCTGGGGGAGATGTTGGTTGATGTTTGCTGCTGAGCATTGATGTTTTGTTGCTGGTCGTTATCTTGGGGGGAATCTTTTGTGCTATTCCCAGTCTGTTGAGGTGTTAATTTCATCTCTGCTGAGTGGTGGAAAAGAAACATTAAAATTCCTTTTCCCAAGGCAAAGGCAAACCTAGTGTGAGCAGAGAAATTAGATTTGAAGCCATTTTAAAGTTGGTCTATTTTGCCAGCAGCTAATCCCAGGCAGGGCAGAGTGTGAGTGGAATTGAGAGGCAGAGTGGAATTGTCCCGGTGCCTTCCCCAGCAGCTGTGGCGAGGGCAGGCACAGAAAGGCCTGAAGCTGCAAGAGTGAGAGCAAGGATTGTCCCGCAGTGGCTGGAGATGGCAAAGGAGGGTGCCCAGGCCGAGGATTTGAGCAGAGGATCTGTGGGCAGGCCCAGGGGCTTCCCCCGCTGGGGAGCCCTGGCTGCTGCTGCATTGCCTTCAGTGCAGGCTCAGGGGTGGCCTGTTTAATATTCCCTTCCAATTCAGATTTCTGAGTCTGGAAGAGCCATGGCTGGGGCATCAATCATTTTATTTTTTTCATTTTGTTAAGTTTTGTTCTCTTTCTTATGTCCACTCTGTTAAATAGAGGCTATCTGTGGCTAAAAAAGTCATACAATGCTCAGGCTAGAACAAAGAATCCTCAAACCAGCTCCTGCAATCCCCTGTTAATTGTAAGAATTGTTCCAGCTCCATTTTAGTCCTGGGAAACATTATTTCTGAGATTCCCTGAACTCACTCTGAATCAATACACCACAAACCCTCAGTCAAATAATGTCCCAAATATTTAACCATTTTCTCTACCGTTTGCCCTTTCTTTTTTTTCAGATACTCAAAGCTGCTTTTTAGCCTGAAAATGAAGCCATTTCACAGAGGCTTCCTTTACCTCTTCTCCTTGT